TATAGTTTGTAGTTTATCTTTGACATTTTTTAAAAAAGTTTAAATTTGAAAGTATTAGTATAAATTACATTCCTAATAAATCCGTATTTTATAAGTTGAATATGTAGTCAATAGATTATAGTAAACAATCCTAGCTTCTTTGGCTTTGGACTTTGCTATTAATAAAAGAGATGTCTAAAGTAATAAAATAATGCACACAAAAGCGAGTATTAAAATATAAGTTAGTATAAACATGAAATCAACAACATTAAATAGGGAACTTTAGAACTGATTCGCTAGGGCTACGAATTAAATATCGGTTAAATATCTGCTACTACAGACTTTCTATCGCCTTTTCTTTTGCATACCCTTTCTTTATGGCCTCTTTTATAGCAACAGTTACGCCAAACCATGTACTATTATAATACAGTAGACACCGCCTATGATAGAAACGACATGACAGTCGATACTAAAGTGACGAAAAAGTGTATATATTTCTACTTCCAAAGCAAAAATATTTTGCACTGGCACTTCAGGTAAAGCGAAAAGTACAAAGGTGTGTATGATTTCGCACAAATAAACCGTAAACAAACATCAAACTATCAAACTAACTCACAGGAAGCTCTTAATCATAATACTATTTATATTAAATGTTGCCAATGTTTGTCTGAGTCTTCGCGGGGGGTCGAATTTTCGTGACGTCAATTGCGGACAACGCTATTAGGAAACATTTGAAAATCTTGAAGTTTTTTTTAATGTTTCGCTGTTGGTCCAACTTTGGAAACAGTTCTCACGAAGCAAACATATTTCCCAATAAATTCAGAAACATATTTTGTTTCTCCATGTGATTTTCTTAGCGGAAACAATTGTTTCTTGTTTGTCCACTTCCGAGAAGAAGCTGTAACAGGCATTGTTTCCTGGTTCGCTCAGCTTCGAGAAACATGCCTAAGAAATAATGCGTCCTGGTTTGCCCACCTTCGAGAAACATGACTAGAAAACAATGTTACCAGGTTTGCCCACCTTCGGGAAACATGCCTAAGTAACAATGTTTCCTGGTTTACCCACCTTCGAGAAACATGGCTAAGAAACAATGTTTCCTGGTTTGCCCACCTTCGGGAAACATGGCTAAGAAACAATGTTTCATGGTTTGCCCACCTTCGAGAAACATGCCTAAGAAACAATGTTTCCCGGTTTGCCCACCTTCAAGAAACATGGCTAGGAAACAATGTTTCCTCGTTTGTTCAGCTTCGAGAAACATGGCTAAGAAACAATGTTTCATGGTTTACCCACCTTCGAGAAACATGGCTAGGAAACAATGTTTCATGGTTTGCCCACCTTGGGAAACATGGCTAAGAAACAATGTTTCATGGTTTGTCCACCTTCGGAAAACATGGCTTGGAAACAATGTTACTTGGTTTACCAACGTTTTGAAATAAAAAAATTTCCGAAGAAATTTCTATCTTGTCTTTTATTATAGACACCATTGATTCACAAAAATCAACACGGAAAAGAAAGAAGTCATCGAAAGAAAGCCCTATGTGTAATAATTAACTATTATTATTGTTATTGTTATTATTGTTATTATTATTATTGTTTTCCGTATCTCTGTCCACATCTTCATTCTTTTCTTCATTTTTGTCCTCATCCTTATTAGTTATTCTCATCCTCGTTCTTATCCTCATCCTTATTGTGGTCTTTAGTGTTATCGTTAACCATATCGTTGTTCATATCGTTGTTCATATTCTCTTTGTTATTTTTATCTTTTCATCCAGGGTGCGATAATTCGTACCTGACTTGCACTCTAATTAATTATGGTTTTTGCCGCGTGCTTGAACTGGTACGACTTAAGATTCAAGGTGTACTTAGTCTTCAAAATGAAGTACATATAGTACAGGTTTCTGACAGGTATTCATTCACTAACCTAAAACTACGAGTCAGAACAAGGAGAACAATTACATAGTTACACAAACATACAGTTGACTCCAACATTCCTTCGTCCCATCAGAGCAATCATGTTTCATGCCAAGATATATCAGAGTTGCACAAACAAACTTAAATTGCAGTTTTGAATACTTTGGGTTTGGAAAGGTCATGTGGTACCAGCAAAGAGTGTCGCGCACGTACGTGGTACTTGCATGGTTGAAAACAAAGAAGTACCAGACCGTAATGTTGGTGTACCTCCGGTACGTGTAAGTACGCGAATTATTGCACTCTGTCATCCTTATCCCTGTCCTCATTATTATTGTTATTGTTGTTATAATTATTAGTACCATAACTTTGCTTAGTTGTAGGCAACTATCAAAATCTTCATTTTTTGTTTTTTTCCTTGTATAACAAAAAAGCCAACAAAGTTCGAAGACTGGAAAAGCGTGGTAAATCTGTTGTTATGATTGCTTTGAAAAACAAAGATGACGATGAACCAACCAACACAGGTACAGATTGTGGTTTGTTGCCAAGGAAGAAAGTGAATCTTATATAATGACTAACTATCATGTGATTTCCGCGATCAAGCAACGCAGACATCAAACTCAACGCGAATTTAAAGTTCATATCTTAATTCGCGCAACCTTATATCCCCTATGTATAATTGTTTCGTCCGTTTTTCAAGTGCCTGATGCAGCTATGGTAAAAGACCGCTCGTTGTTTTAGCAGTTTGTCAGCCATGTTTGCACTAAAGTAACAAACGCAACTGTACTTCGCAACTGGAATTTTATCAGAATTTTGTTATGAGCATGAACCATCAAATAGAAAATAAACACGTTATTTACCGTTTAGGTCAGTCCATACTAAAAGATATGTTCCCTCGGCCTCAGAAACGTCCCTCGGTCTTCTTCTGAGACCTCGTGGAAAATATTTTTTTCCGTACGGACCTCGCAGCCGGTAAATAACATATATGTGTAATAATTGCTGTAGTTTTCAGTGTAAGAACACGCATTGCTGTACCTTCACAGAATGCAAAATACAGTACTTCACCAAATAGTAAACTGATAAATTACTGAATGGAAACCCGTATGGAAATCAATACTGTAATATTTGAATAAGGTTCATTTGGGCTATTAAATCGCAATTTGAAGAAGGTTAATTTAAACTATCAAACTGACTTGCGTTAGTGGAGATTTCAGTTTGCATTACAAAATAGCTAGAAATACATGCATGCATGCAGCAACCACAGAGGAAGTACATACAGACGTTAATTTAGCGTAATGGATTTTTTCAGTCCGCCATGTTCTTAGCAAGTGCCCTAAAGAGAGGCTGTCACCCCCCTGAAAACATATTGAAATTTAATGTTCCAGGGGGGTGAATGCCTCAATGTTGTTTTGCATTCTGCGAGCTTTGATTTAATGTAAAATTTAATCTGAAACGCTTCGTTAAAAGAGCGAGAGCCAGTTGCAAGTAATCTTTTTAAATATTTTTATGTTTCCGTGAATGTAGTTTTTCTATGGCTGACACACTTATGACATGTGCGCTATGGTTTGTCGTGGCTCTTAACGCCTGATTCCACGGGCGCTTTCTTCGGCGAAATGAACTAGGTGCATGCGCAGTAAGGATAAATTAGGCTTCGTGAGCAAAAATTTCACTTCACCAGTGAGTACAAGTCAGTTCTAGTCACTGCGAAAGCGGAAAAAGTTGGAAAATACAATAGAATCGCTCATGTGCAGCCATCCGTATTTGGCAGACACAATTTCTCGCGAAGAATTTTGCCGTCGTGGAAGCAGGCCTTAACAAACTTAAGTTGTCATTTGTTTCGCCTCTGGTTATTCCGGCTCTTGCAATAGTTGGTCAACTACACGTGCCATCATATAGGTATATATGTTTATTAAGAGGCAATAGCCTACAGGCAATTTAGGAAACACTTGAAAATCTTGAAGTTTTCTTGAATGTTTCGCTGTTTATCCAGCTTTGGAAACAGTTCTCACGAAGCAAACATATTTCCCAATAAATTCAGAAACATATTTTGTTTCTCCATGTGATTTTTTAGCGGAAACAACTGTTTCTTGTTTGTCCACTTTCGGGAAAAAGGCTGTGGCAGGCATTGTTTCCTGGTTTGCTCATCTTCGGAAAGAAGGCTAGGAAACAATGGAAAAAAATTCTGAAGAAAATTCTATCTTCTCTTTTATTATAGACATTATTCGTTCACAAAAATCAACACAGGAAAGCAAGAAGTCATCGAAAGAAAGCCCTATGTGTAGTTCTTGTGATTTTAAAGACGAAACACCGCTTTCGAGTGACCGGGATAAATGGCCCATTGGTAAAATCGAAAATGGTTGTTTTCACAAAATTTGCAAACTGCTCGACTTAACTCATCGTAGCAAGGAACCACTGATGAGCGCTCTAGGTGGCTTCGACCAAGCAACGACTGCAGGTATTGAAACAAAATATGAACTAAAGGGAGGAATGTGGATTGCCGAAGAAGTACTCGGTAGGTGGGCATCAAGAAATCAAGAAAATAATGTGGGGGCTCTTAAGAAGATTCTTGGAGATACCATGCAAAGGCTTGATGTACTTTTCGAGATTGAAAAATGGGAGAAGTTGTCTGTTTGTCATGGATGCGGTATTAAATTGAGAGGTATGTCCAGTATAGACGTCGGATGGTGACGATCCGTGAGTATGAATACAGATGGTAGATACATTAATAAAATAAAATGGGCCAATTAACGATAGGCGACTTGCACTAAGTGCTCACGTGACCTTAATCCTCTTGAAATGGTAGGTATGGAACTACAAATCTACAATTAACAATTAACATATAGAGTGATATTTTAAGCAAAAATTCGAATTTTTTGTTTTAAAAAACTTCAAAAGAATTTCTTGCACGTTTAGGGCAGGGCGCTTGGTACAGAGGGGGGGGGGAGGGGGGCTGTATAGAGGGCCATTTGATGGAGGTTATATTTCATTTTACGTAGTGCTAAATCCTTGTTTGAACTTTATTTTGTCAAGATTGTGAAGAGGAAGAATATAGGCGTGCATATTCGCAAGCTCTCCAAGAAGGTAAAGCAAACAATAATTCCGATTATGCTGGTCGGGCAAGACAGAGGCAACACCGTTAAAATATTGTGTAACAAATTTAATGATTTAAAGTTTGTTAGTTCACGGCAATCAGGTATAATATCAGCCATGTTTTCGCTCGCTACTCTGGTTTTGATTAATGAATGCAAAGCCCAGTCGAACTGCATTCACGACCCAACGTTTCGACACTCCAGTCTTGTGTCTTCAATCTTGACAATGAGTACTGTTTTGTTTTCTGTGTTGTTTTATTAACTGATACATGGTTTTATATCGTACCTAATTTATTAAAAAATTTTATACCTGCACATTTTTGTGCAAAGTTTAGCCGAGAAGAAGCACGCCCTGAAATTTCACACCATTATAATATTGTTTAACCACAAAACAGGCTACATTTGATATTCAAAAATGCCAAAACCAACATACACTGAACAGCACCCAGGGAAATTTGGGTGCTAATAACAAAATTTGACTTTGGCCCCCTGGTGATTCCATCTTCTAACACTATGATTAGGAGGGTCCGGAGGCATTGTCCCGGAAATTTTTAAAATCTGAGGTCGCAGAGATGGTCAAATCCTGCATTCTGGAAGTTGTTAACAATTATATCTGTATTTATATTTTACTGTAATCTTTTATCCCCCCCCCCTTTATCTGGGGCCCCAGGGCAAATTGCCCCCTTCACCCCTCTGTGCGGCCTTGACAGCACCTGCAGTTACGACTATCTATGACAATATAGTTTCATAATCACATGCTTGCAGGAAAGAAATATTTTCGTCTTGGTAAATGAGAGGCGGCTTAGGCGTGACAAACCTCAAGAGGAGTTTCAGGGACATGTATCCACAGATCATTTTGCAATCTAGGCTCTTTGAAAGGGCATTTCCTTCAATATGCGGGGACAACCTATAGAATTCTGAAGATTATACACTAATTACAAAACGTTAAGTATCATTCACTCCATTTTCCATGCTCATAAAGAGATCTTTGTTGTGAGACTTTGTTCATCTGATGAACCTTAAGTATAATATTAGTGCGGACGTTCGATAATTTGGCAGTTACCATTTCAATTTCATTCAAATTACTCTCATTCAAAATGTTTTGATTAACACTGTCAAGTGTCAAAACGAATTTTCTGCTCATTGCCTCATTTTCGTGTTAATTATAACAACTTTTATCACAGCAAATTTTATTACTGCACATTTTACATTTTCTTACTGCACATTTTACTTTTATCACTGCACAAATTGGTTATCACTGTCCACTAAAATTAGGTATGTTTTATATTCTCGTGGTGAAAGCAATATTTTACTCATTTGGTACGCTTATTCATAAAGTATTATTTGCACTACTCGAAATCAAAGTCCATATCTTAATTCGCACAGCCTTATAACCCCTATGCATATGTTTAATTGTTTCATTCGTTTTTCAAGCGCCTGATGCAGCTATGGTAGAAGACAGCTCGATCTTTAGATGGCCAAATGAAACCTCAAGTGAAGCTTCAAGCTCAGGTAATTGTTTGGTTACGGTTAGACTTTGACTATACATTATAGTTTACAATTTACGTTTCCGATTTTAGAAGACCATATATTTCTGTGCACACTTTGTAAGTACCGTGTGTGTTTTCATCAGAATTTTTTGCAGCATTTTTATTGAATATAATTCATAAAAGCTGGTAGTGCCTAAGCTTTAGTTTTTAACGTGGAAAACAAATTAATGTTCTTTTGTACGGGACTTTAAGCTGTTGCGTTATTTCTATGGCTCTTTAAAGAGGTATCGAGGGAACCGATCAGTTGGCCTGTTCTTGATTGCAGTCCATAGGAATTTTTAGTCATGAGCATTGTAGATAATTTTCCCCTCTTTTATCTAGGTTTTTAATCATGTTTTTTGTTGTACTATATAGTTTTAAATTACTCGCAGGTTCTCGATCGACAGGAGACTCGCATCGCGCGTTGAAGCAAGGTTTGAACCAAGGAATGTCAACAAGACAAGATGGAAGCCTACACGATGCATGTGCGAAAAGGCATCTTCACAAAGTACGAGAGATCTTGCAAAAAGACTCGGATATCATCAACAGGTTGAATCAACGTGTCGGTCCCTTGGGCGACAATCCATTGCACGAAGCTGCATCTCGGGGTCATGTTGATATCTTACAACTGTTGCTTAACCATGGTGCCAGTGTGAACGCGGTGAACCAGGAGGGTTTTACAGCATTGCACGACGCTGCACGTGAGGGTCATGTTGATATCTTACAACTGTTGCTTAACCATGGTGCCAGTGTGAACGCGGTGAACAAGGAGGGTTTTACAGCATTGCACGACGCTGCACGTGAGGGTCATGTTGATATCTTACAACTGTTGCTTAACCATGGTGCCAGTGTGAACGCGGTGAACAAGGAGGGTTTTACAGCATTGCACTACGCTGCTTGTGAGGATCATGTTGATATTTTACAACTGTTGCTTAACCATGGTGCCAGTGTGAACGCGGTGAACAATGATGGTGATATACCATTGCACGACGCTGCATGTGAGGATCATGTTGATATCTTACAACTGTTACTTAACCATGGTGCCAATGTGAACGCGGTGAACAATGATGGTGATATACCATTGCACTACGCTGCATTTGGGGGTCATGTTGATATCGTACAACTGTTGCTTAACCATGGTGCCAATGTGGACGCGGTGGACAATTATGATTTTACACCATTGCAGTACGCTGCATCTCGGGGTCATGATGGTATCTTACAACTGTTACTTAACCATGGTGCCAGTGTGAACGCGGTGAACATGGAGGGTTTTACAGCATTGCACGACGCTGTACGTGAGGGTCATGTTGATATCTTACAACTGTTGCTTAACCATGGTGCCAGTGTGAACGCGGTGAACAATGATGGTAATATACCATTGCACGAGGCTGCATTTCAGGGTCATGATGGTATCTTACAACTGTTGCTTAACCATGGTGCCAGTATGAACGCGGTGAGCAATGGGGGTTATACACCATTGCACGACGCTGCATCTCGAGGTCATGATGGTATCTTACAACTGTTGCTTAACCATGGTGCCAGTGTGAACGCGGTGAACAATGAGGGTTATACACCATTGCACGAAGCTGCATGTCGGGATCATGTGAAATGCATTAAGGTTTGTTTCTCTTGTGAGATAGTCCAATGTTCAGCAGCTCAGTTAATCCTCGCAATTTTTGGTAGAAATAGGCAAAGAGATAATGCCGAACGATGTGAGTTGAGGGGGGGGGGGCAGAATTTTGTGTAGGACTCTTTTCAATGGGTTCATAATTCGTAATTTTCGCCTCATGAAGCGAACATGTAATGATTTTTTAAATATTTCAAATATTTCCCGAATATCAAAAAGGGCACCTTTGCCCCCCCCCTCCCCTACCTGGGAAAGGCAATACCCTCCCCTGCACCCCCTTTCCAGCGGCCCTGTTTTTTTGTAATGACATTTTGCAGAGCTGTCAATTCCGATGGTCTACTAGTTTTGGGGGCGGCTCAAGGTATAATGCAATCACGGTATGAAAATGGTTCATGCCAGTTCAAAAAATCGTTTTCCACAATAAATCATATCATAAATTTTTCCACATACTGCTGTTTGCAAGCTACCAT